TCCTCGCTGGAATTTCGTTTCTGCGCTATTCGACGGCGGAATGCTACCCGAGTTAACGCTAGTATGCTAGCACTCCAACGCTAGGCAAACGCTGTCCGAGCCATAACTTAGTAATGGCAGAACTTTTCGCGAGGCAACTTGGCTCATTTTAAAGCTCTTGGAGCGAGCTTCGATATAGCGAATTCTCAGCTTAATCCGACCGACGGTCTGCACGGCACGCTGCGCGACGTTCAAGGTACTCTTGCTGTTTTGACTAAGTCCTTCTTGATCCCTCTCTCTACAAACTCGGACCCGAGGATAGGGGCTGGTCTTGTACCAGGCACCCAGGGACCCTTGGAGGTGACCCCGAGGAGAGGTTTTAAGTTTGATTAAGTCCTAATAGCTTGAGTTTATTAGGCCCTTACACCAACAGATAGAACTGAATCTGCGCAATCAATTCAACCGAACTGCAAAGCTTCCATCTTGGGTTCCTTCGCGAGCTCGTCCTTTCTGCTTGCACTGTTCATAGCGCGTATAATGTTGTGCCGAAGCGCACATTGCGCGAGTACCTGCAAGTGTTTCAATCGAAAATTGTGAAAGCAAACAAAACACACAAATACACCATTCACACACAAATGCATTCGCACACGCATACTCATTCGTACTAACTGACGGCAGGATGTCGTGCAATGTGAATTTGCATCCAACACACTTCCCCTCAGCCTGTCGGCTGCATTCCCATCATTCCATGCTAGTTCATGCTCATTCCACTCATGCGCACACAATGCCAATGAGGCTCATCCGCAAGCCTCTTGGTGAGAATGTCTGCTGGCTGCTGGTGAGTCTTGATATAGATCGGATTCACAGTCGCCCTCTTCACCTCCTTACGCAGCCAGTGCCACTTGATACGCATGTGCTTGTTCAGCCCATGAAGCACATCGTTCCTGGCCAACCCAAGAGCCCTCTCGCTATCACAAAAGAGCGGCGTAGCAACCTTTTGCTCCTGATCAATCTCCTCTAACAGCCTCTTCAGCCAAATCACCTCCTTCACCCCGTGGAACATCGCCATGTACTCTGACTCAACAGAGGAGAGTGTGGTCTCTGTCTGCTTCTTGGACCTCCAACTAACAGGTCCTCCCCCAACTACGCAGATGTATCCTCCCACAGAGGAGGAATCCTCCTTCTCTGAAGCCCAAGTAGCATCGGTAAAGCAAGTGAGAAAGAGCTTGCCTTCTCCAAGCCTCTCCCCCTTCTCTTTCAGCACCTCAACCCCTTTCTGCTTCACCTGTGCAGATGCGGAGTATTGGACTCCAATGCTTGGGTGAGAGTTCAAATACTTCACCACGCGCTCAGCTGCATCCACCTGCTCCTCTGATGGATTCTGCACCACCCTAGCTAGCTGCCCAACCGAGAAAGAGATGTCGGGCCTCGTGTGAACTGCTGCATACAAGAGGCTGCCCACCAAGGACTGGAATTGCTGCTGCTCCTCGGCTTCAACCCCTTCATCCTCTGCAGCCTTCACAAGCTTGAATTCTGCTGGCAGGGGAGTTGCAACCTTGCGCTCATTCTCAATCCCATACTTCTCCCCCAGCTCCTTGATGAACTTCTCCTGGTGCAGCTTCAACCACCTGTGATCCAGATCCCTCTCCACGTGCATCCCAAGGCAGTATTTTACTTCCCCAAGGTTCTTGCACTTGAAGTTCTCCATCAGCTGCTGCTGCACTTTCTGGATCTCCTTCATGCTGCTGCTGAAGAGAAGAATGTCGTCTACATAGACCAGAAACAGCACCAGCTTCTCCCCCTCTCCCTTGAGAAAGAGGCTCTCATCACAGCTGCTGGTCCTGAATCCCATCTCCTCTAAAACAGCTGCCAACTTCTGGTACCAGCAGCGCGGCACCGGCTTCAAGCCGTAGATCGACTTTTTCAGCTTGCACACCCTGCCCGTACCATCCTCATACCCAGGCGGCTGCGTCATGTACACATCCTCCTCTAAAATCCCATTGAGGAATGCCGTTGATATATCCATCTGAATGATGAATTTCCCGCTAACGGCTGCATCTGCCAAGTCCTGCTTCTCCTTCTGCATAAACCCCTTAGCCACCAGCCTACTCTTGTAGATGGTGACCTGCCCCTTGTCATCGGTCTTGATCCTCAACACCCACTTGCACTGTACGGCTTTCTTCCCCTCAGGCAGCACCACCAGATCCCATGTCCCATTCTCTAGCAGGCTCTGGTACTCAGCATCTCTAGAAGCCAGCCACTTCTCCCTGTCTGGTCCAGCTAATGACTCCTCCATGCTAGCTGGTTCGTCTGGTGCAGGGGCAATAAAACAGTAGGCAGGCTTATCCTCCTCATCTGGGTCATAGACATGAGGTAGAATCAGCATTGCCTCCTCGGTCCCAAGCTGCTGCTCCGCTACACCTGATCCTGCAGTCAGCTTCTTAGTAGCCATACGGGTACGTCCTGGCCTGGAGACGGGTGTCTCCCATCCCTTCATAACGACACCCTTCAGCTTCTTAGTTTTCCCCTGCTGCTGCTCTCCTCCCTCGGATCCAGCAGCTCCACTAGTGCTGCCGCCAGTTTCCACACCACCGGCAGGTACCTCCTGTACCTTCTCTTCATCACCATTCCCCGCAGCTGCCTCCTCTCCCTCCTCCCACATACTAGGAGTCAGGTCCAGCTGCATGATGATCTGCTCCATCTGCTCGGATACCCTTGCCTCCGGCTATTTCTCCCAGCTCCCATACATCATGCCCTCAATGAATTTCACATCCCTGCTATCAAACAACACATTCTTTGATGGATCCCACAGCAGCCATCCCTTGCTTTCAGCAGCCAGCCCCAAATGCACACACCAGATTGCACTCGCCCCCAACTTACTGCGGTAGGTCTTGGGGACGTGGGCGACTGCCATGCAGCCAAAAACCCTCAGCATGTCCACCGGCGGCTTCCTCCCATTCCACCTCTCCAATGGCACCCATGAGTCATCACCAACCTTGGTGAGTACCCTGTTCCTAGCGACGGTAGCGTGCCGGACAGCGTGAGGCCACATGGAGTTGCCAAGCCTAAACTCTATGAGCAGCGCCCAAGCTGTCTCTAGAATAGTCCGGTTCGCCCGTTCTGCTACACCATTGGACTGTGGGGTATAAGCCGTGGTCAGCTCCCTCTGGATGCCCTGCTTCTTGAGCCAGGCCGTTATTTCAGCTCCAAGGAACTCACCACCCCGGTCTGTCCTAATCCGCTTCACTACACACTCCGCCTGCTTCTCCACAAATGGCAGCCAATCATCCCGTATCGTGGAGGCAGCGTGGTCCTTCTGCTTGTAGCACTTAATCTTCTTAGGTTTATCCACACCAGTAGCAGAGAGCTTCACATAGAGGTCCCGGAGTTGATCGAACGCTCCTTGTACGGCATCACCCTCGTTGATCTTGACTGCATGGAGTTGTCGCTCGAGCAACACAACCATTGCTTCGCTGCTGGGGGCATGGACATCCTTCGATGTCTTCCATGCCTTGGGACCACACTGAACTTTTTTGATAAGATGCTGGATATGGTGCAGCTGGTTGGATCAGAGGCATTGGGAGAGAAGGAACAATCCATCCTTGTGCCAGCGATCCCATCTCTTGGTCGCTCATTCGCTCGCAGGCCTCTTCAATTCTCCATCCATCACTTCAAGCAGCCCATAATGGTTGAAGAGAACCTCCATCCTGAAGCTCCATGATGCCCAATCCTCCCCAGAGAACTTCTCCAGGTTGAATGCCTTCACATCATCCTTAGCTGATGTCAATACGGATTGGTGCAGATTCGCCTGCAATGTCTCTTCCTGCTTCCCCAGCGCCTCACGCCAACCACTGCCACTGGGACCAGCTGGAGCAGAACCTTCAGCCTCCACATTCAACCATGAACAGAGTAGAACAGCTCTGATACCACTTGTTATAGTCTAGAGTCCACTTAGGGGTCGCGGATGCCCATGAAACCGCCTAAGCAGAATCTGATAACTTCGAACCGCCTCTAAAACCGAGACACGATCAGCTCCAATAACATACGAGACTAACACGTTGACAGCAATTAGCTTTCGGTGTCTGCTTTCCAAAGGCATATTGCCTGCTTTTACCAGAAGTGTATGAGCAATGCAATGAACGAAAACGTAAGCTCGATTGAAAACGTGTAGTTTCATTGATGCAAGGAAGAGGTTGTTACAACATTTCTTAGGGGCCTATTAAGGGGTTGTTTCATCCTGGGAACTCAGAGAAGATTGAGTCCTAGGGGAGAAAGGCTAGAGAAGGCAAATCCAACCACACTTGGATGTTCAAAGCTGTACTCAAGGCTACCAAAAGTGAGTCAAGCCAATCATGAGCAAGCTTGTCTTTCCACTTGCACCCTCTTGCAAGCTGCTTCCAGGAAGACCACACTTCTCAAAAGGAGGGTGGTAGAGTCCCACTTGACAACCAATACTTCTTGTCTCATTCTCTGTCCCTGCACCATTGGCATGACAACAATGAAAGGGTGGCAAGGGAAATGCTGCCAACAGTGCACCATGACTACGGAACCGTAAGTTTCGACGCCAGTCACGCGCATCTCCGATGCTGGATTGTCATGAAACTTGGTGAGCACCTGCAGAGCGCGGCAAATGGACCTCCACACCAATTTTTAGACCAATCAGAGCTCGTTAGACAAGTCAGCAGCAGAAATTGTGAACTCGGGTGTTACCAAAAAAACAGTAACACACGAGTGCATGACGTGACGAGCTGCTGCACGTCTGCTGCTATCCGAGGCCAGTAGTAATACTTCGCTATTCCTGCTAACGTCTTGTTGCTCCCGAAATGTCCCGCGTATGGTACGTCGTGAAACTCCTCTAGTAGGATCTGCCGTAGCAGGGTGTAGTTCGGTACCCAAATCTTTCCTGAACCCTTCCTTACCACTATGTCTTTCTCCCACTATAACAGCTTCTGTTTCTCTGCCGCGTCTACAGAGTACCCATGTTTGAATAGACCCTTAAGAAGATGGTTCATCCCTTTGAGCTAGATGCCTGCTACATGGCCGGCGCGGAACAACGCGTCAGCTTTGTTGTGCAGCCCGGGTTTGTAAACGATGTCGTAGTGGAAGTGGGTCTCCAAGAAGTCCACCCACCGCACCTGTCGTCGTGAGAGCGTCGGCTGCGACTTCAGGTATTTGAGACTGCAGTGGTCAGTGTAAACTGTGGTCTTGGCTCCCTCTAGGTAACACCTCCACGCCTTGAAGGCTACGATAATGGCTAAGGCTTCCTTGTCGTGAATGGGGTAGTTCAGTTCTGCTCCATGTAGCTTCTTACTAAGGTAGGCGATAGGCTGTAAACCGCGTCCGTGATCCTGCATCAGTACTGCTCCGACTGCCTGGTCACTAGCGTCTGCTTCCACCACGTAGTCCTTGTCTGGGTCCGGTAGGATGAGTACTGGTGCTGTGGTCAGTGCTGTCTGTAGCTGCTCCATGGCTTGCTGATGAGGAGTATCCCATTTGAAGGGTACGTAGGTCGGTCAGTGGTGCTGCTATCTTAGCGTAATGAGGCACGAACCTGTTGCGGTAGTTGGCGAAGCCTAGGAACAGCTGCAACTCCTTCACGTTCTCCGGTACTTTCCACTTCTTGACGGCTTCGATTTTCCGCGCGTCCACGTGTACGCCCTCCGCACTCACCATGTGCCCGAGAAACTGCACATTCTTTGAGGCGAAGTCACTCTTTGACAGCTTCACGTAGAATTTGTTTTTCCGCAGGATCTCGAACACCTTCTGTAGATTCTCCACGTGCTCCTTCATGTTCTTAGAGTAGATGAGGATATCGTTCAGGTACACCACTACGCACTCGTCCAGCAGGGACGGATATGGTTCATCTCCGCCTGGAACGTTGCTGGTGCGTTGCTGAGTCTGAATGGCATCACCAAGTATTCATAGGAGCCGTATCTCGTACGGAACGCTGTCTTGTGGACCGAGTTGTCCGCCACCACGCAGTTGGTCTAGTAGATACTTATTTTTGACTGTCTGTTTGTTCATTGCGCGGTAGTCGATGCACATCCGTAAACTGCCGTCTGGTTTTGGGGCGAAAAGAACTGGTGCACTGTAGGGAGAGGTGGATGGGCGGATCAGTTGTCTGTCCAGTAAATATTCTATCTGCTTCTTCATGTCTGTCAGTTCTGTCGGACTCAGTCGGTATGGTGCACGTGAGACGGGTTTCGCACCTGGTTCCTCCACGATCTCGTGCTCATGGGTGCGTGCTGGAGGTACGCCTGCGGGTAGGTTGTCAGGCATTATATACTTGTACTGCTCCAAGACCTCCTTCACTGCTGCAGGAAGCTCCGAACTCGGCTTCTCCTCCTCTGCTGCTACCATGACCAGTGCTAGGTAACCCGTGTTACTCTCGTTCACCGTCCGTTCAAACCGTGCCATTGTCGTTTCAGAAACATCCCCTGTATCCGTCCAGCTTCGTAGCTCTATCCGCTTTCCGTTATTGTAGATGCACACCTTACTGTTGACCCAATCGATCTCGGGGTTGAACCGCTTCAGGAAATCTCGCCCAAAAGGAAATCTAACCCTTTGATGTGGGTGACTGGTAGCTTTGGCTTCCTCCCCAACGTACCTACATGCAGCTGTAGAGATGCTTCGCCGTGGATGGGAAGCTTTGTACCATTCACCATCGTTGCAGAGAATTGGGTGTCCTCCGCCTTCTCTCTGATTTTCTCCAATGTTCCGCGGTCACACACCGAGTGAGATGCACCACTGTCCATCAGTGCATGGAGGCGTTGCCCATTGCATAACACCTCAAGGAGTAGTGGTTTCTGCTGCGCTGAGTAGCCAAAGAGGGTCTCATTAATAGGATCATAGGGTACATCAAAATGAATACCTTCCCTATTTCCTATACCTGACTCAGCACTTTTCACTTCCAACTTCACCTGGGGGGTAGGAGGATTTTTCCGAGGCTTGTATAATTTCTCCTGAGCCTGGATTTGTCCTCTAAGCCTTTGCAGCTGTGTAGGCTTCACCTGTGGGCAATGGGGAGCCTTAACACGGTGCTGCGGGGAGAGAATATTAACTCCACAGAATGTATGACCCTTTTCTACTCTCCGTAGTACTTTGCCCAACTTCTCAGGTACCTGAATAATCTCTATAGGCTTTTCTTGGCCTCTAAATCTCCCCTTAATTTCAAAGGCTTGAAAACCACGAGAAGTAATATAATTCGTTAAAGTATCTTTACATACGGAGCCTCCATTCGCCTCGGCGATTTCCCCTGATGCCGGCCGGTCGTGACGTTTGATATCTCAACATCATTTTCCCTTTTTTTCACCAGCTCCGAAGTCGTCACGTCGTCGCCCTTTTCGCTTTTCTCGATCGCTAGGTCGATCCGCGTCTACTGGCGATTCCCGTTTTTTTACTTCGGGGGTGCTCCACTGTTGCCGCCCAGCATTGCCGCACGTGATTTTTTCATTTTGTAGCACGACAAGATTTGATGCCCCCTTGCGCCGCAAAATTCGCATTTTTTTGTCGATGTCCATCGGTTCGGCGAACGTGGGGGCTGCCAATCGCTCCGGGCCAAATGTACAGTTTGGCCCGTAGCGTCCTGAGTCTGGTTGACCAAGCGTCACCGCGTCGTACCTTTCGGCTGCCCGTGCAATGTCGCGGTAGCTACTGTAGTTCGCCGCAATCACCTGCCGTCAAATCTCCATTTATAATCCTTCGGTTTACGCTTGGATTTTTTCGCCTTCGGTCAGGTCGGTGATGCGGTTGAACAGTAACTCCATCTGCTGCGTGTACTGTGCTATGCTGCTGTACTATTTGTGTCGGTGAATTTGTTGCCACGCCATCTAGACCGAGTTGATTGGTTCGAAGCGTTCGATGAGATCCTCTCCAAACTGCATCCACGTTTTCTCCCCGCGGGCCTCGTCAGAATAGTAAATCCACTCAAGTGCTGGTCCCCTCAATAGTGTCGCTGCGAGCCGAATCCTTGCTGCGTCGTGTGTCGGGTTGAACAGCCAATGCCCTCGAAATAAATTTCGAGGGTTGCCACAAAACGTCGAACGTCAGATCCTTTCGCGCTTGGATCGAACGCTTCGGGGAGCCTCGGGCGAGCTGCTTCGAGGTCCGGCGTCGGTGGTGCCATCGGCACCAACCATTATCCCACATCCTTCAGCTCATGCATGCATACTCAATGCGAACTTATTCAAGCAAGCTTCATTCACTTCCAACACTCATCCCAATGGACAAACATCTCCTTTCAACATCCCACTTCCAACATCTCCATTTTGCTCAAATCTGCAGCACCCCAATGAAAAATCTCCCTCACGGCACTTTCCTCCAAAGCCTCTGAATATAGCTCCACAGAAGTAGGCTATCACATCCTCATCATACTGCTCAGCCACACTCCCAGCTAGTACCACTTTTGGCTTGTCAAAACTAGGATAGGTCAGCCTGTTAGGAGGGCGCACATCCCTCCTAGGATGCTCAGGCGGACATGGGTCATGTGGTGGAGCACGTTGCTGCTGCTGCTGTGGCTGCCGCTGTTGTTGTTGCGCCTGCTGCTGCTGCAGTTGCTCCTCCACCTCAGGTTCTTCCCCATCCTCAGTCACCCCAGAGATTTCCTCCTCTGAGACAGTGACCTGCACTTGTCTCGAAGGCCGCTGCACCTCATCGGCCTCAATGATCAGTGGTATAATAGGCAGTTTCTGCTGCTGCTGCTTCCACTCCTTGTAGTACAAGGACTCAAGGAACTTCACATCCCTTGACACAGTCAGCTGCTGGCTGGTCAAGTCCCATATCAACCAGCCCTTGTGATCCTTAGCAAGCCCCAAGTGCACACCCTGTTTGATGAACGTCACTCTGAGTGCATGTTATCCTAACGTCCTGCCGAGTGTTCGTGTTATATGTGGTTGCATGATTTGAATGAGAATATATTGTTGGGTGCAAATTTACATTGCACGACATCCTGCCGTCTGTTTGTACGAGTATGCGTGTGCGAATGCATTTGGGTGTGAATGGAATGTTCGTGTGTTTGTTTGCTTTCGCAATTTTCGCTTGATGCATTTGCAGGTACTCGCGCAATGTGCGCTTCGGCACGACATTGTACGCGCTATGAACAATGCAAGCAGAAAGGACGAGCTCGCAAAGGAACCCAAGATGGAAGCTTTGCAGTTCGGTTGAGTTGATTGCGCAGATTCAGTTCTATCCAACTCGAAATTGTACTGTTTTGTTTGGTTAACTATAGTGTAGCAGGGAAGGCACTATAGGGGTACAATTTAGGTGAAGGTTGGATGTTGTTTGTCTGTATCTGCATGCTACAAGGCCAGGGGAAACCAGCGGAACCAGCATTTGGCTGGTTGGGCAAAGACAAAACAGGTTCTGTTTTTAGAACCTGAACCTGGTTGTTGTTTTCCCAGGTTGGAAAAACAGAACCAGAGGTTGTTTACCAACCTACCACCTGCTATTTTGTCCAGCCAGGTTGGTTTTGTTGCTTGGAATTATTTGGGATCATCCCTGGTTGTTCCCAGGTTGATTCCCAAGGTCCTTGCTAGCTAGAACTATTTAATCCTTCTCTGTTTGTACCTGAATATAGTCAAATTGATTCAAGCGAATTCCTTCCTCGCTGGAATTTCGTTTCTGCGCTATTCGACGGCGGAATGCTACCCGAGTCAACGCTAGTATGCTAGCACTCCAACGCTAGGCAAACGCTTTCCGAGCCATAACTTAGTAATGGCAGAACTTTTCGCAAGGCAACTTGGCTCATTTTAAAGCTCTTGGAACGAGCTTCGATATAGCGAATTCTCAGCTTAATCCGACCGACGGTCTGCACGGCACGCTGCACGACGTTCAAGGTACTCTTGCTGTTTTGACTAAGTCCTTCTTGATCCCTCTCTCTACAAACTCGGACCCGAGGATAGGGGCTGGTCTTGTACCAGGCACCCAGGGACCCTTGGAGGTGACCCCGAGGAGAGGTTTTAAGTTTGATTAAGTCCTAATAGCTTGAGTTTATTAGGCCCTTACACCAACATATATCATTGTGCATGGCTGTTGGATATTATCATCTCTGTGTTTTCTCCAAGTCTACATGCTTGATCATGCAGGAGAAATCCAGAGCTTTCCAACGATACCAAGATCGCCTTATTCTGACCAAGATCGCCCAAGTTACAAGATTTCCAAGACTTGGATTTCTTATTACCTTTTTGGGGTTATATCTACTTTGGTCGATTTTTGGAACATGACTATAAAGAGATCTTTGGTTGGGTGGTTAGAAAGGCAACTTTGACTTTTGGATTGAGGTAGCTAGAAACTTCTAGCATGGGTTGCAAATGTTGCAACACCTAGCCAAAAGCCAACTAGATTGGATTTTGCATGTGACACCTCAAGGACCTCATGATGAGGGTTGCATCCTTGCTGCTAGGAAGGTTCCTACCATCCTTCCCTAGCTCTTGGAGAACCAGAACCCCTTCCCTCTCATGGTTCTCTTGGAGTCCCCAACTCCAACCTTTCTATGCCTTAATGCTTGTGGTATGTCCTCCACCACTCTAGTCATGCAGCAGCTGGACGTTTTCATATGGTTCTCACTCCCTAGACTATCTGTTTAAGTGATTCAAATTGGAGATGGTAGCTAAGCCTAAGGCGCAACATCCTACCGAGCGGATTTGCGTTTAGTTGAGTAATGAGTTCGTCGTAAGTTCTCGAAGTGACGGATCCTGAACAACAAGTGGTATCAGAGCGGGTAGTCGACTTTGAGATGACAAATCTTCGTAAATTCTCGACCAATGTTGACGAGTGAGACCATTTTCTAGTAGCTCTGCTTGCGAGCGTTCGATTGGTGGTCGAATCGTGTTCTGATTCGAAGTATTCAGTCCGCGACGGCGATTTTCGTAAAGTCGAAATTTCTGGCAGAATTCTCTCTAAACAATTTCTCAAGTTTCCACCGTTCATAAGGCCTCAATATGACTGGAACGGATTTCAGAGGTGCTAATGACGAGATGGCTGGAGGTAGAGAGGCTGGAGAGCAGGGGGGAGTTGCTGGTGGTGGAATGAGGACTCACCAACCAGCCAACCATGAGGCTGATGTACACCCAATACAAGCTATTGGACCTGGTGGAGGGGAAGGAAAAGATGACGGAGGCTGCGGAGCTGAAAGGAGCGTGGATGAAGCGATCGTTCGACGCGTACATGCTCATGGTGCAAGCGGTTGGAGGACGACAACTTGACCACATCAAGGACCTCTTGGGTGATCCAGAGTGTGGCCCCAAGGCTTGGAGGAAGCTTCTGGATGTGCACTCACCGACACAAGCTGCCGGCATCGTGCTACTCGCGCGGCGGCTGCGCGACATTAAGTTCGTTGATGGAGAGCCGATGCAGCCCGTGTTGGACGAGATACGCGGCATTTTCATGAAGCTCCAAGGCGGCGGTGTCGTGTACCCGGAGATCGTGCAATGCGTGGAGATCGTAATACACGCAACAGCCCCAGTGGCGCATGGATTACATCTGGGCGCACATTCTTGAGGAGGACTTGCGCCGGCGGAGTGTGGAGCGCTTGGAGGAGGGGGCTGGCTATGGAGTTGGAGGTGGAAAGAGTGGCTTCAAGAAGAAGTGGAAGGGCAAGAACAAGGACAACCCTAAGGAGGATGGCGGCGGGGGTCAAGGGGAGGTGTGCTTCTACTGCAAGAAGCGC